CGGTCATGTAGCCCGCCTTGCCCTTCCCGCCCTTTCCCTTGAGGAAGGACTGCCAGCTGCCCTGCTTCTCCTTGGTGGCCTTGTCCAGGTTCTGGAACCTGATCTTGGACTTGTAGCTCTTGAGAAGCTTCTTCTTGCGGTCCACCGTCTTCTCATCGTCCTCGGGCTTAATCTCGAGCCACTGGGCAGACGTGAATGGGGGGGTGGTGTTCATGGGGAGGTTAGGGGGTGGCGTATGGCGGTCGAGGGGTGGTCTGCGGATTTTGGAAGGTTCAGAGGGTGGCATGGGACTGTGAAGGCTGGCTTGGGGTTTTTGAGGGCGGCAGGGTGGGTGAATGGCGGGAGATCGGCAGAGGAGGCAACGACTGTGTGGGCGGAGTGGTTGAGGGCAGTGTGGAATGGCGTGGCATGGTGCCAAGCGTGCAGGGAGAGTGAATATTAATATGCGAGTGGGCGGCAGGGAAAAGCGAGACTTGCGTCGCTGCTCGGGCTTGATGGTGAGCTGCTGGTGTGGCACTGCATTGACAAGCATGCCGGGGCACATGCGTAGGGCATGCGGCCGTGTGCACTTCGCCGAAGGCGGGCCGGCGCTGATTTCATCCCAAGGGTTGGCCCCTGACACTAGCCCCTGTCGAGGGCCACCCCGGTTTTGGTGGCACTGCGCCAGCACCCAGGGAACAAACGCGCCCATAGAACGTGCAAACCACAAGTTCAGAGGCCCCGCAGCTGCTGCGTGAGAAACCCCATGGATGCCAACCACGGCACAACGTTTCTGCTTGCGTCAAGGTCCGCTGCCGCCGACTGGACTCGTGCCTAGGCCCCCTGCCCGGCGCCATAAGCCCACCCACACTGCGTCTCCCACCCTCCACCCGCTGACCCGACACTGGCCTGCACCCTCGTTGTTGCCCCACCGCCGCTCCCTCTGCAAGACGACGCCATCGTGTGGACCCCCCTTTGGACGGCCCACCTGTCACCACCACCCTTTGAGACCCTCTTTTCCCATGGAGCCTTCACCCCTGGGGCCCTCTGACTCCAGAACCCCCTGACCCTTGGACACCCCCTCACCCCTGGAATCCCCCACCCTCACCCCTGGAACCCCGCCCCCCCACCTTGGGTATCTCTGTGACCTCGGGCTCGTCCTCCACGCGCTTCCGCTTGGGGGCAGCCACCCCCTTGTACACCTCCTCACGCACCTCCTCCGCCCGCGGCCGCACGGAGCCCGCCACGAGCTGCAGCCATGGGAGAAGAAGGGGGGAGTGTGAGAGGGGGGGGGGGGTTGGCGCAGCAGCCAGAGGCAGGGCACACACCAGGGTCGCCCGACGACGCGGGCATGCCGGCGGGGCTTGGTCCCCAGAAAAAAAAATCGAGCGGCGCTGCGCGCTGCGCAGCGTGCGCAGCTGGAGAAGCTGCTGCGCCTGCCCCTCCCTCCGGCTGCCGACCCCCCGCGAATTCCGCCCCCCAAAACTCCAGCCGTCCACTGACACAAACCCCAACCGCAACCCGCAGCTCCCAAACCCCTCGCCTCACAGCTGCACCTCTCTCTCACAAATTCGCCCTCCCCTTGGCGCTGCACCCCTGGGCTCTTACGCAGACGCCCCCAGACCATCCCCGCTCCACCCTCTGCCAACTGCCGCACCCCCGGCCTGCGTTCCCGCCCTGCCAGCCCGCCCCCGCACCTCCTCCTTGTTGCCGTAGCCCTCATACAGCACCACAAACTTGCCGTCCTCTGTCACGCCCTCCACAACCCCTGGGTACCACTGCCCGTCTGCCGCATAGTACGCCAGGCACTCCGCGCCTACCGCCCACCCCGCCTGCGCCTGCCCCAGCAGCGCCGACCGCTGCTGCGCCTTCCGAATCTGGTCGGCGACCGCCTCGGGCAGCATCGACGGCGCGTTGAGCGCCGCCGGCGTCACGATTTGGGAGCCGCCGAGCGCCGCGCCGCCTTGGGCGCTCGGGCCCGCCGCCGCCGCCGCCGACGAGGCTACCGCCGCTGCTACTGGCGCGGAGGGCGCGGCCGGCGCGGCTGGGGGCGCCGCCGAGGTGTGCTGCTGCTTGGCGTCTGCCAGGAGGTCCTTTGTAAGCTGGATGACTTCTGATAGCGAGTCGTACATTTCTGAGAGCTCTGCATTGTGGGGCTCCAACAACAGAAGCTGCTCGACCTGTGTGTGTGTATGTGTGTGCGCGCGAGCATGTGTGTGTGTGTGTGTGCACATGCGCGCGCGCGCGCGTGTGTGTGTGTGTGTGTGTGTGTGTGTGAGAGAGAGAGAGAGCATGCGCAGGCATGCAAGAGACTCTTAGAGTGCACCGTTGCGTGCATGTGCGCATGCGTGTTGCCTTGAATCAACCCCATGCGCATCGGCAGTGTGCAGGGCTTGCATGACGAGGCGATATCAATAGTGGATGGCAACATGACAGGACGAGTGCAGCAATGTGTGGTATGTGTGGGAGTGATGCAGGCGCACAGGCGGCTATGCAGTCGAGCCCCGGCGCTGTGGACACTGCTGCCAGGCATCAAAGGATGCGGGTATCGGCCCGATGCCTTGCACCCATTCTTAAGGCACAGAAAGCATCACACCAGAGCTGAAGTATGTTCGAATCATCAGATTCGCACAATCATGCCGAGCACACAGCAGCGGCAGCGAGCGGCGTGTGTGCGCCCCCCTTGTGCCATGCAGCGCACCTGCCGCTGCTGCTCCTCATAGCCGCTAAGGTCTGCTTGTAGCTCGTCATAGCTTTTCACGCCTTCCGCGGGCAGCTCCTCCGCCATGGTGTCTTCAACTTGTCCCGCACGCAGCCGTATGCTGTACTGCCTGGTGCTCGACTGACTAACAGGGCTAAAGACACTCGGACCTCTATGCAGTCACGGGGCGTGCGAACGAGGTGATCTTACCGTACATCAAGTGACCTCACAAGATGGGCAAAGGACCCAATGCGCTTGCTTGCGCACGGAGAATTGCTTTGTGTATCGAGTGCAGTGTGAACTCGCAGCAAACTGTATGTAGGCAGATCGATTAGCTATCATGCACACATCAACGGTGTCTGGGCCACGGGGCCCAGAAGTGAATACATTGGTGCTTGACGCTCTAGTGACAGAGTATCTACAAGCGCAGGCGCGGCCTCACGATATGCGTGCGCTGCACGGCGCCCTTCGGGCCATGCGCGCCCCGATCAGCCAACTGAGCGCCGTGCCCGTCCCCGTGCCAGACGACCCGTGCACGTGTCTCATAGCGTGGATGCCCACACCCCGCGCAGACGGAGCCAGAGCCTGGTGCCGCCGCTAGCACGAGTGGGCGCAGCCGCGGCGGCAGCAGCGGCGACCCGCGAGCGGACACATGGGCGGTGCGGCACATGCTCGCGCGCGGGCAGGTGGTGGAGGCCGTCGCCCTGATCCAGGAGGCCTGCCCTTCTCTGCTCGAGGTGACCATGGGGCGCCTCGATGCCGAGGGGCGCCGGCCCACGCATGCCGCCGTCCGCATGTGGGGCCGCTGCAGCAGAGCGCCATGCAGGGCTGTGCCACGCGTTGGGGCTCATCCCGCTAGCAATCCTGTTCCTGGCAGTCGGGCCCCCATGTTTGCATGGCAGGTCTTCCGAAGCATTTGAGAGCTATCTTGAATGCCTCTCTTATGCTGTCATATCCTGTTGCTTTGCCATGCACAGGACCACCGCCTACTGTTCCTCCTGGGCCGACAGGAGTTTGTTGAGCTGCTGCGCAGCGCCACCGCAGAGGGGGACGCCCGCGCGCTCGGTGCGTACTCCTGGCATGAGCTCGCCTCACTGCAGGGACGGCCCTCAATAACACCGGGACACCGGGGCCGAGGGGAGCAGCGCACATCTGGCGTGAGGGGTGGCACACGGCTGATTCACAGCAGGAAGCCCCAGGCCTCTGCGCTTGGCGGCCCCCGTGGCCGGCCAGCGCGCCTGCCTGCGCACCCGTCTTCAGCATGGATGCTTTCTTGAAGTCCCCTGGCTATGCTACCCCAAAAGCAGCTGCGCGTGCGGCACTGCGACGGGCGCGCGCTCGACATGCGCTCTCAGGTCACGCCGCTAACAGGGCCATCCCGCATGACGCGAGCTGCGGTGCAGGCGCTTGAGCCACCACGCGCGTGCGCTGCGTCGCACCATGCCAACCCGCCCCGCAGACTGTGCGCGCGACCGGCTGGCGCCGCTGGCCCTGGGCGCGTACCCCGAGGCCTTCACTGACTTCAAAACAACAATGCTGATGCTGGTGCAGCGGAGGCAGTGCGGCGCGGGCAAGGGCAAGGGCGCCGGCCAGCCGCAGCAGCAGCAGGCAGCGGCGAGGCCCGGCAGCGGCAAGGCGGCTGGCGGCAGCGGCGGCAGCGGCCCGGGCGCCGCCGTGCGGCCGGGCGGCGCCGCCACAGGGCCAGTGGGGGCAGGTGCAGGCCATGGCAGCGGCGATGAGGAGGGGGACGACGAGGATGACGAGGATGAGGCCGTCAGGTGTGTAACCTCGGACGGCGTCGTGCACAGAGACCTGTCCGATGCAGAGGCCCACTGCGCCGGCCGCGCGAGCGTGTGGGTCGCGCGCACGCTGCCGCCGCCGGCCGCCGGCGCCGCCGGCCGCCGGACGGGCGGGCTCGTCGCGGCTGCGGCGCGGGCGCGGTCCAAGGCGGCGCGGCGCGAGCTGTCCGAGGTTGTGTTCCACACCATGCGGGAGCGGCTGGGTGAGCAGGGCCCTCCTCCTGGCTTTCCTCCTGGCACAGGGCGGCTGCGGCCGACGGCGCAGCCGCCCTGTGCAAGCACACACCTGTTTCTGATTCGGCCTTGCAGGCGGCTGAAGCGTTCCCTTGGTAGCCAAATGCTGACATCAGCGGCCACGCGCTGTCAGCAGCAGCACGCGCAATGCAACCCGCACCAAGAAGCGCGTGCGGTGAACCCCCGCTCCGTGAACCCCCGCTCGACCCCCGCCACCAGGCTGGCTGGACCCGCCGCTGTCGCTACTGCTGCGGTACCTGCTACTGGTGGCGGCATCTTATGCAGAGTCCCAGCCGGGCAGCTCGCTGGGCGCGGAGCAGGCGAGCGCTCGTGCTGCGCCCGCTGCCGCGTGGATCCCCATTTCAAGGGGGCTGGTGGAGGAGGGAGGCCCGGCTGCTGGCCCTGTGTTGCACGGTTACGTGCACACCCTGGAGTCGAGCAGCCCCATGGCTTCTCATCAGGCCATCTGTACCTCTCTTGCAGCTGCAAACGTGTGCCACGCCCACAATACAGAGATACCTTGACCCACGGGACGCTTGCCTTTGCACTGGTCCAAATCGCATGCGTGCAGGAGCTTGCCTCCGCCCTCCTGGCGCGCGTCAAGGGCGGCGGCGCGGGGGCGCCGTTGGGCGAGCTGGCGCGCGACGCGGCGCCGCTGCAGAGCGAGGCGACGGGCCTGAGCTTCCCAGAGGGGCACGTGCTGGTGGGTCGCCTGTTCAACTAGTGGTGTTTGCGGGTTCACAGGATTACAGCCACATGTATTGGTGGTCATCAGCGACAGTGCGCTGCTGTTTCCTGGAAGCGGGGCATACCTGGTGCGTCGCAAAAGCCTAGCCGCTGCCGGGCGGACGACGGGTAGCGCAGCGAGCCCCCTTTGGCTGCCTAGAGCCCCTTGAGGACTACGGCCGACGCGCCGCGTTGCGCGGGTCTTGGCAGATCCCTTCCTGGCGACGCTGCCCTAACGCTCTCCTTCGTCGTGCGGGCGCGAAGCCCCTTTGCTCCCCTCTTGGCAGCGCGCGCCTCGCCCACGTCCGTCACGCTCCCTCCACCTCCAAGCTCGTCAGCGCCACTGAACCCCAAATCGCCGACCGTCAAATGCACCATTGCTCGAGTGGCTAATTGGTAAAGTCTCAAGCCTAATTGGTAAATCCTCAACTGGCCAATTCCTCAATTGTCTCAACATCCATTGGCCCGCAGGACCTCATGCAGGGCGCCCGGGTGCCGCGCGCAGCGGCGTGGGACGCGCTGAAGCGCGCGCGCGGCGACACGGGCGCCGCGCTGGGCGGGGAGCTGATGCGGCTGCGGCTGGACGCGGGGCTGCTGGGGCCTCTGGTGGAGGAGTACGCGGCATACAGGTGCGGGGCGGCTTGTTGATCGACCATTGTGTTTTGGGTAGATTGCCGGCGCCTGAAGTATGCTTGGCCGTGGGTGGGTTGAGTTTGGTGGGTGGGTTGAGTGTGTGCTGGTTCGTGATTATGTGTTGTGATTTCTGGATGTTGGGGGCTGTTGGGGCCGCTGGTAGAGCAATCATTGCGTGTGCAGGTGCCCAATCAATGGGCCAGGTCTGGCTGCCGGCGAGGGTGGCATGTCGGGCGACCGTGTGTGTCTGGCGGGAAGCGGGTGGTGCCGCATTTGATGGTCATTGGGCCGGTTAGGTCGAGCTGCGGGCGTGTAGATTGTGACTGTGTGTGTGGATCCCCGGCTCGCCTGTTCCTTTGGTAGGCCAGACTTCTGCGTGAAATGTGCACGGGCGTGTGTCGTGATGTGTGTGTGTATGTCTGTGTGTGTGTGTGTGTGTGTGTGTGTCTCTGTGTCTGTGTCTGTGTGTGCTGCACCGTCCTCACGTGTCTTGCATGCCCTGCAACCACACCGCAGGGGCCTTTCTGCAGGTGGCCCCGCAGGCTCCATCGACGGTGGCAACGGCGGTGGCGTGGCGGATGCTGCGGATCGGCGCGCGGTGGAGCAGGTGCTAGCAGCAATGGACGTTGATGATGACAGCTCAGCAGGGCAGACGCTGCCCGGCGCGCATTCCGCCGCCGCCGCGGGCACGCCGCCGGCCGCGGGCGCGGGCCAGACGCAGCAGCGGGCGGGCGGCGCGGCAACGGCGGCGGCGGCGGGGCAGCAGCTGCAGTGGGTGCGGTCGGACTCGCGTAGCCCGCCCTGCAAGGTGCCGCGGTGGGGCGCCCAGCAGAGTGCTACGACGAGCTACGGCGGCGCCGGCGGCTGCGAGGCCGCAGCCGCCGCGGCGGCAGCAGAGCAGCAGCTGCACGCCTGCGCCGCGGCCGCGGCCGCGGC